TGGGGGGGTGGTGTGGGTTTGTTAGCCGCGGGGGCTCTGCCCGGCTGTGCTTGCCGCTTCGGGAGCCAGCCGAAGCGCGGAGCTGCTTGCTCCTCGCACGAGAGCTGACGCTTGCCGCTCGGGCTCCCGCCCGCGGTGTCGGTGGAGGCCCGGGACTCTTCACGAACCCGCTTCCTCTCCTGTGCCGCTTCCTCAGCAGTGGTGCTGGGAGCAGCTTATTAGCGATCAGCGTGGGGAGGCAAACGAGCCGCTGTCGCTGGTTCCCCCGCGTACGAGCAGCCTCTGGGACCTGCTGCATCCAGGCTCTGACGTATCCCGACTGGCATCTTTCAGACGAGACGAGCGCTTGCTTTGAGACCTCTTAAGGAAGCTTTTCGTTTTCAGAGCATGAGTGTGCAGCACCCCTGGGAGCCCCCAGCATAGCCAGGCATCTAGTACTACTAGTTATTTTGGAAAACATGGAAGTTTTTGGCTTTTTGTGATGAATCTGCTTTTGGCTGCTGCGAAGGGTCGGGGCTGGTGGGTTTGCAGGATGTCTCTGCTACTGGGGGCATTTTTGGTGGGTGGCACCGTCCCTGCGAACGGGGTGGTGATGGCCGGGCACAGCTCAAAGGGACACGTCCCCGGGTGCGCGAGCCAACCGTGCTCCTCGTGCTGGGGCGGCCAGGCTGGCGGGTCTTTGCCGGACAAGCACTTTGTGACCTGGATGTCTTGGGAATATGCTTTCTGGGGCATTTGCACTTCTCAGCTGGATGCATGGATAGAAATTGGGTCTGAAGCTGCTGACAAGGCTCTCCGTTGGCGTTTTGGTCCTGAGAAGCGGTCCGGGTTGAGCAGGGCCGGGACACTGATGAGTCATTGGTGTGGGAGATGTGGGGCCCTGGTGTCTGCCCAGCCGTCCTCTCCCCGCTGCCTTCGGGGTGGCCGCAGGGCTAGTCTCTGCTCTCCCTTGGGCTCGGAGGAAACCGGAGAGCAGAGCAGAGCCAACGCATGGAGCCTCAGGCGCTTTTCCTGGCTGCCTGGCCCTTCCCCTTTCCCACGTGGGATGGGGTCCCGGCTCCCCTCCTGGGCCG